ATTGAAAAAAATAATAATAAATAAATAAATTAACAAATAAATAAATAAATACGTAGCGATGACATGACGTAATGACGTAGTGAGGACATTGGATTATAATATAGTTATTTATAATTTTTGAAGCTTATTATTGAAGTTGAAATTATAATTTGCATTTTTAGCTTTGGAGAAAGGTCTAATCCCCTCCCCCCACAGTCCGTCGCTACGCTACTATCCTAACACAAAAATATTTTCTGTCCAACATATTTACATTCACAAAAATACATTGAAAACCATTCTATTTCTATAAATTGTATTTAAATCAATCAAGACTTTACTTCCATTAAAATGAAAACCAATTTTTTTTTGATAACTAAAAAAAACCCCTTATAATATATCTAATTGATAATCCTCGAGAAATGCATTGACAATATTAATTAATTTTCTTAGATCTAACCCAGAAAAGGAAATACAATTGAAAACAATTTTTAATCCTAAAAATGACCATTTAGGACACCGGTTACCTTTATTCAATTCCTTTTTTAAAATTAACAATATCTAAGAGGACAATTTTTAGTTCAGAATTCAGAAATGAGTAAAGATTCATTTAAAACATATGTTATTAAACCATCAATCTGTTTTTTTGGATATTTCATAATTTTATTTAGTTCCACTCATATATTTATTTTCATCTAGTTACAAAGTTTGTAGGTATCCTGAGAAAAAAATCGGCAAAAATATATGAAGGATAGGCTTTCACAGGCGCGTACGCAGTGGGGGGGGGGCAGGGAGACAAATCCCCCCCTCCCCCAAAGCCAAAAAATGCAGATGCCGGATATATTTTTCAAAAATATTATTGTTTATATTAATTTATATTTGTTAATATTTATTCCTATCTCATATTAAATATATATTTAATTACATTTAATATCATATTCATCAACTAAGTTATTTTATCAATTAATTTCTATTTAAGTTTTTCGGGGTAATATCATCTTATTATTTTTAAATTATTAGTGGCATCTACCATTATTAAATTTCTAGTCAAATAATAATTATTCTGAAATTGTCCAACAGGGAGAAAGAAATTGCAACCTTGTCCAACGAGATAAAGTCTCCGCCATCAAGCAGTAACAGCTTTTATGGAGTTAGAAGAGCCGATTATTTGCTATTACTGAAATATCACAATGGCCTGAAAGAAATATTTCCTCAGAAGCAAGAAAATTATTGGATTCAATGCTTATTCCAAATTTTAGTTCTCATTAGAATGTATTATTTAAATATACAACTATTTTAAGTATTACTTTTCAAAAACATGACATTGATTTGATTAAGAAGATGAGAATAGCGGAGATAATTTTATCTGAACTCAAGGATATAGGGCTAATGTTGATGAAGAATTTCATATTTTATTGTTGAGTCAAAAGCAGGGCCATACGTGTTTAATATTTGTCTCACTCGATTTGCAGCAAGGCAAGCTCAGAGTTAAAACATTAATATAGGATCAGTTGAAGAGAATATCTTAGATATAGTAACCCAAATAAATAAATGGTTTTTAATTCATCATGCAGCACTTACCAATCTGAAAATATTACTTCCATAAAAGCCTTCCCAACCTTTTTCAGATGGTGATAGAAAATAAAATCTTTGTTGGATTTTTATCATGAAGATATTAAAGTATCTTATGATTATTAGCTGAATAGCTATGTTTATAAGATTAACTATGGTTGATATAGTCCCAAAAAAAGCTATGGATGCTCTGCATTATTTCTAGATTATATTCCCAATGTATTAAAAGACGTTAGTAAACTAAAGAGAGAACATTCTCTTTTTAAGAAGAATAATAAAGCCCTGCAGAGGTACCATTTGCAGTTCACGGCCCGGATTTTTTTAAAAATTTTTCGGCCCAGCTCGGGTTTATTTTAAAAAAATTTTCAGGCCCGGCCCGGCTTTTTTTAAAAAAATTTTAGGCCCGGCCCAGCTTTTTTTTAAATAAAATTTTCAGGTCAGACCCGGATTTTTTTAAAATAAATTATATTAATTTTTTTTATACTTAATAATAACGATTTCAAATATAGGCTGTTTTAAAATATACAGCCGGGCCCGGATATTTTTTTAAAAAAAATTTTCAAGCCCGGCCTGGGTGTTTATTTAAAAAAATTCAGGCTCAGATCGGGTGTTTTTATTAAAAAAAAATTAGGCTCAGCTGGGGTGTTTTTTTAAAAAAATTTAGGCTCAGCTCGGGTGTTTATTTAAAAAAAATTCAGGCTCAGCTCGGGTGTTTTTTTAAAAAAATTTCGGGCCCGGCCCGGATATATTTAAATAAATTAAAATACGGTGCGGCCTGGGTGCCGGGCCTGCAGGTTTCTGAAAAACATACCAAGAAGTACAACTTCTGAAAGTAGATTGAAAGGTTTGGATCTTTTGAATATTCATAGGCATTTGACAAGCAAGGATGAGATAATTGAAAAATTAGCTCAATCCCAACAAATATTGGATTTTACATTGTAAATATATAACATATAAAATATGTATAATTATTCCTAAGAAACTTTTTGTGTATTAATTTATATTTCTAACATTTTTATTTTTTATACTTTATTTATAAATTTTAACGGCTCAAAAAATTCAAATTTCTATTTTGGGTTATTTAAATGATTCTTTACATATAATTTTTTTAAAATTCACATTAATTTAAAATTGTTTATTAGAAATAGTTGTTAGTCCTAATAAATGTATGCTTGATATTTTCAAAAAACAATAATATTTCTTAAAAAAATACATTATCCCCCCCCCCCCCAGACCAAATTCCTGCGTACGCGCCTGGGCCTTCATATTAGAGGTGGGCGCGGGCTGTGAAATTACGCAGGCGTGAGTGTGAATAGATTTTAAATTCCAAGGCGGGACTGGGCGTGACGGGCCTTCCCAAAATTTTCCGTGAATCACGGAAATTTTAATTTTTATTATTGTTTTTTTATAAATATAAATTTGCAATTTTTTAATTATATTTATATTATATATTTTCTGATTTAATTTCGTTCTTTTTTAAAAAAGAATAATTTATGACTAAAAATATTCCGCATTTTATAAACAACATCCGGTATCATTTTGTTAATTCTATTTTCTTTTTATGTTTAGGTGTTTATGGCGAGACTTTATGCTAAATTTTGCTTAAACTTTTTACAGAAAAGTTAGTTATATTTTATTTGTAAAGATCTCCAATCTTTAAATGCAACAGAAAGTGAAGGATTTTAAAGCTAGGCCAAGAGATAAATGTTGGTGTTACATATGGATAACAAAATATAAAAGTTGTGAACCAAAAAACTCTCATGAATACTTTAGGTCCAAAAATATACCATAAAATAAAATTTAAGATTAAAAGCATGATCAATAATAATTACTTGTCCATAATCACTGATATTTGACGGATGACTATAAAAATCTAAGTTTTTTAATTACAGGACATATTATCATTAAGGATTTTAAATTAAAAACATTTGTTTGGGCCACAAGGGTAATGGATGAAAAAAACGTCAAAATTAAAAGTGTAGTCAATTCAATTTTAGGAGAATATACAGAAGTAGAAAATTACTTAAATAAATGTATAGTTGTGAGTGATAACGGAGCAAATCTTATAAGTGCATTCAAAGATGACGAAACGCTAGCATGTATATGCCATATACTAAATAATATTATGCATTATATTTTTGACAATTGTTTAACTGAAATAGCCTTAAATATAAATCGTGTAAAAAAATAGTACAATATTTCAAACAATCTACAGCTAATATCAAACTACACACCCTTAAACAAGATGTAATAGCAAGAATAACGAGATGGAACTCTGTATATATCATGATACAGAGTTTCTTAAAATCATATTCTGAAATACAGGTGTACTTGTTTAGCAAGAAAAAATTAAATAGATTAGCCACAATTGATATCAGTATCATACGTGAGTTAGATAAATTTTTATCAATATTAAAAGAATGTTCGGATAATCTTAGAGCAGATTCTCGTCCCACAATAAATAAAGTTTTTCTATGGAAACAAAAATTAATAAAATTTTGTTAACCTTCTAAACGTGATACAATAATAATCAAAACCTTAAAATGCAGAACAAGATTTCTTTTAAAAGATTATTATGCAGCCACACTACATAAGGTAGGCTTAATTCTAGATCCGAATTTCAAAAGACTTAGGTTTTTAATAAAAGAAGAAAATTATATAAAACAATCATAAAATGCTAAAAGATATAAAATTAGATGATATGCATAAGTCGATGCCAACTATCATTTATAACTTTCCTAACTTATCCTAAACTCATAAAAACCGTATATTCTAAATGGTCAATACCAATTATCACCTTCCTAATTCATCCTACACTCATAAAAGACCGTATATTCTAAAAAAAATTAGAGAATTTTTAGATGATTCTGATGAAGCATCAACATCACCGATGAAAGCTGTGAGGATGAACTTAAAAGATTCATATAGGATAAATAACGACAATATTTTGAAGTTTTGGAAATTCATTTCCTTTTTTAAGAAAATTATCGAGTAAAATTTTGTCAGCTGCAAGTTCGGCTTCTAGTGAAAAGTTATTTTCTGTAGCCAATCTCTTATTAGAGGAAAGGCGTACACAATTGAAATAAAAAGATGGACATTCTTCTTTTTCTAAATAAATTTCGATTTATAGATTATATAAATTTTTTTGTTATTGATATGGAATATTAAATTAAAGAAATAAATAGAACGAATTCAAAAAAGTGTAAAATTTTAGCAATAGTATTGAAAAATTTAAAAACACCGTGAATTTTCGGGCGTGTAGACGTGAATCAAAATATTGCTTGTCGTGAGCGGGCGGGTCGGGTCGAAAATTTTTTAATGGTAAGCGTAAATGGGCGTAAATTTTTTTATAAACACCGTGAGCGGGCGGGTCGAGAATGAAAAATTAGGCCCGCGCCCACCTCTACTTCATATAATTCACGTTCACTCATTTTGGGCAGGTCTATGACCAACGTGCAAGATAAGATAAGATAAATGTCAAAAAATAAATATCGCGTATATGAAAATGATCAGGAGTTAGGGAAAAGCTTAGCAGAGCAGATAAAATGCATAAGTGATAAATCAATTGCTAAAAATGATCAATTCATGATTGGATTTTCTGGTATATGGCTTTAAATCAAATTATAGTATCTCGATATAGGTGGGAGTTTATCTAAAATCTTATGTGACTATTTGCCCCTAATTAAAACTGACTGGAGTAAATGGAAGATTTTTTTTTGCGATGAACGATATGTGTCGGAGAATGATCCTGATAATAATTATTCTTTTTACAAGCTGCATTTATTAGATAAAGTTCCATTGAAGATTGGCTTAAACATATTTCCCATCAATACTTACCTTCCAAGTATAAGTTAAAACGACTTTTTTTAACGTTTGTATATTTTTATAGTTGATGAATGTGCTCAAGAGTATGCAAACCAGATTAAAAATGTTACTGGCCAGACTCTCCAATTTGATCTATTATTGTTGGGAATAGGTCCAGATGGCCATACCTGTTCTTTATTTCCAAATCATCCTCAACTCAATGTATTATATTTTTAATTTAATTGAACATTTATCTTTATTAGGAAAAACAATTAATTGTAACATCAATAATTAATTCACCTAAGCCACCACCCAAAAGAATTACAATGACATTTCCACTGATTAATAATTCATGTAATATATTTGTGATTACAACTGGAGACAAAAAAGCAGAAATTATTAAAGTTTATATTTATCAATCATATAATATATATAAAAAATGATTTTATAGAAGATATTTAGTGATGATCAAACTGAAATTATTAAATATCCAATAGAAATGGTTGAATCGAAAAATACCAGCAATATTTGGTTTTTGGATAAAGTTGCAGCCTCTTCCATTAAATAATATAAATATTTGTTAACATTCTTATGAGTAGTTGTTAATTTTATAGAACATTTGATTTATTTAATTTAAATTTTAATTACAAAAAATTAGTCAAATTTTGTTAAAACATGATTATTTTATTTAGACAAATTTGTTTATATAATTTTGAATAAAATATAATAAAGACTATTTATATTTGTACTATATTTTTATATTCCATTTATTCTTTCAGTAAAAAAATGTTATATTTCAAGTTTTCTTGAAATAATTTTATTTCTTTTATACAAATTTTATTCAATCTTTGTAATATAAATCAATTATTACATCTAAGTATTAATATATTTTATAAAAGATTATCAATATTTATGTGATAATATTAATTTTTTTTCAAATAATACTCCTTGGTAATGGTTTTTGAAATTTAAAACTTTAATTATAATATTAATTTTATATAATGAAAGAGTTAAAATAATTCTAAAGTTGATTTAAAAGTTTTATAACATTAGATCACAGTATATGACTTTTTTAAAAAAATTTAGTGTTATATTATCATGAGTGTGATGAAAATATGAATTTCTGTAAATGTAAACTACAAATTCCTAAGAAATTATATTTAAACTTAATATAAAAATCATATTTAGCTCTTTGAGATGATTCAGAAAATGTTATTTTTAATTTTTTTTAAAAATAAACACTCTTTTTTGATTAAATTACAATGACCAAATTTTAAAAATATAGAATTATGTTTTACCTGTCAAGATGTTTTAGAAAATGTTTGTGAAATTATAAAAATATTAAAAAATAGACATTTTTTGATTAAACTATGAATTCTCACTAATTATGTGCTAATTTAAAAAATAAATATAGAATCATGTTTAGCTCTTCGAGATGATTCGAAAATGTCAATATTCATTTTTAAAAATTTTGTAAATTGTTATCCAAAAATCACATTTTTTTTGGACTAAACTATAAATCCTGTTAATTATATACTAATTAAAAAAAATACAGAATCATGTTTAGCTTTCTAAGATGTCAGAAAATGTTATTGTTAGTTTTAAAAATAATTTATAAATTATTAAATATCTTTAAATAAAACTCATTTTTTTACTTAACTATGAATCCCCTATATAATTTAATAAAATAAATATAGAATCATGTTTAACTCTTGAAAATATTTCAGAAAATTTTTATATTAGTTTTTTTTTTAAATTGTAAATTTAAACTTACCATCAGTTACAAAATATTATAATTCAAATTGGAATTTGATTAGATGGAATGGGTCATGTGATTTCAATCATCTATATCATTTTTTAAATATAACAAATTATAGAACCTAGTCTATGAACCAAAAATTTAAGCAACCATTACCAAATTCTCAACTTTTAGTTTTTTAATACAAATAGCTAGATTAAATTTTATGGCCTTTAAAAAAAATTATCGAATGGTAAGGAGTAATGAGATTAACTGTTTCCTTATAATACTTTATCTTCAGAAAGCAAGTACAGAGAGTTTAAAAATCTTGGACGTTCAAATCAGCATCAATAAAAAGAAATAGAATTTTTTAAAAAAATTTATTTGGAATCATCGGCATTCCAATTCAAAAGAAATTCAATTATAAGTTCAAATATTTCGGTTAGCTTTTTTGAACATAATTCATTCAATGAGAATTTTTTTCTATAAAGTAAAATGATTTGATTTTAAGTGCTTATTATATATAAACTCGTGAAAAATAAACCCTACTTCCCAAAATAATGAAAGTTTTTCGTTCTCATTATCTTCAATGGACAGCTAATTTTGTACAAAGTGTTATATTGTAGGACTGTATAAAATGTAAAGGTCCTGGGGCCTTAAATAATATAGAATATCAATCTATCTTAGGTAAAGCTTTGTTCAGGAATACTTTTCCCTTGTATTCAAGAACCTCATGTCAACATCTGAATTAACCAAAAATGATTATTAGATAACAACATTACTATTTTAGATAATGCACAGCGGCAATTAGAACCCTATTGGGAAACATGGGGCATAAAATAATTAAAAAAGGAATATGCTCAATTAAAAATGCTTAGAATTTCATATCTATATTAATGTCAAAACTAATTAGTTCTATGCCGCAATGAATATCAGCAAATGATGCAAATCTTAATTTTTAAACAAGTGACAGCATATTATAATTTTTTTAGTTTTAAAATAATTTCAATTTATATCAACATATTTATTAAATATTTTTATAATAAAATATCTGAGACCTGCAGAAGTACTAGTTGCACGGCCCAGTTATACAAAAAAATGGCCCAGCCCGCGTTTTATATTTTCAGACCTGGCCTGGGTATTTTGAAAAAAATTCCGGCCCAGATGTATAAAATATGTTTTTCATGACCCGGGCTTAAAAGAATAAACTTTTACCAAAAAATTTCCGGTTTATATTTTACTAAATATGCCAATTCGACATTTTACAGTTTAGTTAAAATGAAATCATTTTATTATAATAACTTTTAAAACTATCTTCATTATTCTTATTTTTCATTTAATACCAAAAAAGGTAGTGAAATAACTGGATGTCTTGTATCGGTAGTGTTGTTGATTAACGGTTAATCCAATATTTTAGCCAAAATATTTTACGCAAGCCTGAAAATTTGCCCACAGATGGCAGAAAGATTTGGACATCAATTAACGAAGTCTTGAGGCTTTCAATATATTTTTTGGCTAAAATATTGGGTGAGCCGTTTTAAAAAATCGAGCCGTTTATGTAGATAAAAAATTATTTGATTTTAATGCAAAATAAATAAATTTATCGTTATTAAATCATTTATTATCAATGAACATTTACAGTTTTGCCATATAGTATAATATTAAAAATACTAGAAAGTTTCGACATATTAAAAAAAATATATTTTGAAAATATTATATAAGGTTTTAATTTGATCTTATGTGATTTCATTAAAAAAAATTTTTAATGATGAATAATTTGTAATTCGTTTAAAAATCAAATTGACCCGGGTATTTTAACAAAATAATTTTTAGACCCAGCCTGGGTTAATTAAAAAATTACCGTCCTTCCCGTGGGCTAGCCCTTGGTCTGGGTTTGTAGGTCTGATAAATATTATTAAAATTTAATTTTTGTTTTATTAAAAATATATTTTTTAAAAATTGAAATTAAGTTTAAAAAAACTTAATGGGGCTGAGTATAATAACATTGGGGTACATTACAGGCGCGTAGGGTTTAAAAGTGGTAAATTCCCCACCTCATAGGAATTTGCCTGTTCTCGATATCATTTTAAGTTAATAAGACCCCCCCCCCCCCTCCCCCACTAATTTATAAAATATATCATTACTATAGATAATCATATCAAAAAAAAATAAGTAAAATTTAATAATCTTTTAAAATAACGACTATAATTCAAATATTTTTAGGAAAAAAACATTTTTATAAAAAGAGTGAAAAACCAAAATCATTTATATAAGAATAATAACATCCAAAGGTTTACAATAAAGTGATCTAAAGACCTCCAATACAATTTATAGAGGAAAACCCCACATAATAGCGCCCCCCCCCCAATAGAAAAATCCTGACTATAGTATATTTCTTTGATTAAATATTAATTTCATGCCATTCACTGACATATAAGAAAGAATTCTGATTTAAAAATTATTAAAGTATATATGCAATTCAATTGGTCACTCTCTTAGATACATTCTAAATTTGTTTTTATAATCCAAATTAATAAAAAACTCAATGATCTCAGGCTTCATAATGCTCCACCGATCGTTTATTAGTTGAGGCAACTAACAAATGGAAGGTTAATATACCTTTGAACACTCATTTACCATCAATCATCACTCAAAATTAATCTTTTAATATTAAAATCTCTAGATTGCATTTAACTCTTTCAATCAGCCAACAGACTTGGTGGTCATAAATGGCTAGACACCCCCTAGTTGTAATTTCGGTAATCTCTTATCAGAGGAAAAATTGAGAGTTGCCATTGGTTTACGTCTTGGTAGTGACATCATTCAGCCACATGCTTGTATCAAATGCAGATCACCAGTAGATTCAAAGGGCGACACCAACGCCAATCAGCAATTAATCACGCAATAAATCAACAGTTAACAGCCGCCCACATTCCGCACCATCTTGAAATTTATCTCACATAGATGTTCAAAACTGCTGATATGACAATTCTACCTTGGGCCTCGACAAATCTTTAATATGGGATTACAAATGCATTACTTCATTCCCCTCAAACATCAACATCAAGCCGTTACCAAACAGAAACAAAAAAGATAAATAAATTAAAAAATCTCAACAACTTCCTTTTTAGTCGAATAATCATTTCCACAAACGGCCATTTTTCGTTATTAATCTACAAGTTTTAAAAAAATATTGGAAATAAAATTCAGCATTTTACCAACCAAGCCAAATTTTATTTATATATTCGTCAAAAAGTTCAAATAAAAGTTTTTAGAAATAGTTATGGTTCCTTTTTGGGAATACAATTATAGAATTGTATTCTATTTTTAGAGTGTTTTAATTTTATAGAAATTATAATGTTTTAATTATGATAAAAAATTTTAATAAATAAATTTAGAAATATATTATAAAAATATAAGAAAAAAAAATATTATTTATCAAAACTTAAAAGAAGTAAAATGTTATATTAAATTTTGAAAAATACATTTTGGAAACTTAGAATATTAAGTTATATCCGTAACCCATATTCCTATTTTACCTTTTCCAAGGGATCTTCTAGAAATCTCAGATAGAATTTCTTCAGCATCAAAGTCCTTCCCTTAAGGGATCTTATTTATTTTTAAATTTATATATTTAGTCGCTTTTCTGATCATTTATTTAGTTTATTTAAAATAATTTATTTACTCCGTTTTTTAAATTCATCTATATAGCGTTTTTTTAGGAATCCTATTTTTATATATAATGCTTGAAAACCCAACTTTTAAACTTATGTATACATATAATTTCAACATTCCTCATTTAATTTATATATATATAAATAAGGTTTAATCAGTAGCGTACGCAGG